AATCATGCCATGATAACCTGTCCCGAACCTGATATAGAATGCCGCAACGTTTCCGGACCTGAAAACAAATTGCCGCCTGGAATAACTGTCGTAATGACTCGGGTCCTGAGAATAAATCACTGCAGCTGTCCCAAACCTGAAAATAAGTCACCGTAGTGAGACAGCTGTCACCGGGCCCATACCGTACCTGAAGCACGTCAGACACCGTAGGACGTAGCCACTCCGTAACGACCCTCGTATCCGTACCGAACCAAAYACCATAGTCGACCYAAGGCAGCACCACCCCATGCTGTCCATGCGACTCCTGCTCTCAGAACATCTCAACGCGGTAATGTTAGTAATCAAGCACACCAGGGAAAGCGTCGCAGGAAACCTCAACCATCGGCAGTAGTGTTAGCTTGTTAAAATCCGGGGAAAATGATCAATCCGGAGTCAGAGCTGATGGCGGGTAATCGAGGCGAAATTTGRCCAATCTCCCAATGGTSATGGGTTCCCGTCCCTTTCATCGTTTTTCATCATTCTGAGTGCCGTACACCTCGTGGAGCCGTCGCCAGAATTGGCTCGTAAAGCGCGGGTCACGGTCAGATATGATGCTCAGAGGTTAGCCGTGGTCATGCACGACTCGGTCAAATACGATGTTGGGGACCTCACGTGCACTGATGGCATAGCGGCACGGAACAAAGCAAGCACGCTTAGTGAAGCGGTCGACGACGACCAGGATAGCATCATGACCGCGGGGGGTCGGAGGTCGAAGAGGACCGATAAAGTCCATCGAGATGGACTGCCAACGACCCTCAGGGATAGGAAGAGGCTGGAGCAAACCATAAGGTAGGTGGTTCGCACTGTTCACCTCCTTACAGGTGGGACACTCTGCGACGTAGTCCTTCACAAAGTCCTTGCGCTTCGGCCAGACGTATAGGCGGCTCACACGAGCCAACGTCTTGTGGAAGCCCATATGACCGGCAGCTGCCTGGTCATGGAACTCTGCTACTGCTCGGACACGTAGCTATCCAGTGGAGGGAACACAAATATGGGGCTCTCTGGTGCCCTGTGAATCGTTGTCAAGCGGCCACAAGCAGTGCGCCGCGTGAAATCTATGGTTTTGGGACTTAGGCGCGAAGACGAGTMTGAGTTTTGACGGTACTCTGGTTAGACCAGGCAGCGGAAATTAGGGGAGCTYAGGGCGCCCTTGATTTTGGGCGCGCTGAACCTTACGGGTAACCCTCAAAGATGGCAAGATGGGTGGTCGCACTCGGCACATCAACGGACCGTCATTTCCGGCCGTTCAGAGGGTTAGACCCGGATTGGCCTCCCGCGGAGAGGCATTGCGGGAACTGACCTCGCAGCCACATTTTTTGCGGCATACGACCGGGGCCGAAATGAGGCCTCAAATTTTTGACTATTTTAGTGCTATAATTAAAGATGAGGAAAAGGGATTACGACCAGTAGTGGAGAAGGGAAAAAATATAATATCCCTTAATTTCTTTATTTTTAACCATCCTCAGACTGATGGTCAGACCAAGATCACGAACAGGACTCTCGGGGATATTCTCCGAAAGATTGTTCATGACGACCAGCAGTGGGATCTCCATCTTGCCCACGCGGAGATAGCCTACAACCACGCCGTCTCGCCAGCCACGGGGATGTCGCCTTACTATTGCGACCTCGGTTATCACCATCGTGTTCCCGCGGACTTCCTCCGACCGTCACAGATGCACCCCGACACGAGTTGTCCCGCGCTGGATGATTGGGTTGCACACATGACGTCGATCATGAAGACCGCACATGAGCACGTAGCCGCTTCCCAGACTCGCATGGCAGCACGTGCGAACCGATCGAGGATGGATCATCCATTCAAAGTCGGTGATGACGTGCTTATCGACGCCCGCCACTTACAGCTCGAAGCGGACACGCTTCGCAAGTTTCGGCGTCGCTTCTTTGGCCCATGCCGCATCCTCCAGGCCGTCGGTTCTGATACGACWTCTAGCCCGGTCAGCTTYCGTGTGAAGCTGCCCGACTRCCTACRCCARRCTCGTGTGCACGATGTCTACCACATCTCGTTACTGCGTCCTTACCGCAGACCGTCTGAGCGTTTCGCTGGACGACCATACGAGCGCCCTCCACCCATCATGGTGGATGGTCACGAGGAGTTCCTCGTTTCAGACATAATTGGTCGCCGAGTCACCGACGACAACCCTCCCCACATCGAGTATCTCGTATGTTGGAAGGGTTACCCTGATGAGGAGGCTACCTGGGAGCCCCTCGAGCACTTGCAGCACGCTCGCATGTTGGTGCGTGCCTATGACCGTGCTCGTCGTGCTGGGTTCACTGCTCCTCCTCAGCCCACTGACCCTCCTCCTTCTCCTCCGGCTGAGGAGACCGCTGAAGTTGAGCCTGCTCCATCTGAGGCAGACCTTCAGCAGCAGCCGGATGCTTCTGAGCGTCCACAGCGCACGTGTCGTCGTCCTGCTCGATACGACGATTGACTTTGACTTACCTTCCCACGTTTTTGACTTCTCAGTACTCCATCCACATTAGTTTTGCTACTTCAGCTCGTCGACGCTGCGACTCTTCCTCGACGGCATTTCGGACTTCTCATCGTGGACGTCATCGGCAGCTTCATGGACTTCATCACGATCAGCTCTGCCTACTTCAGACGTCGTCACTCTCTTACCACTCTACCTTGTACAGTACCCTGCTTGTGTCGCATGATGGTCTCCCTTTAGCCGGGTTCCTCTGAGTTGGGTTCTCCCTTGGTATACGCATAGGCATCGGGACC